AAAAACTTCACTCTCTCTCCATCATAACTACTCAATGACTTTCTGTCTCAGGAGGCGGCCTATTTAGGAGTGGCGAACCACTTGCGGACTGTGTCCCAGCGATACCGTCACTTCATCTCAGGTTTAGCACCCCAAGAGGCCCGCTGCTTATCGCTTCATCTAGCCAGGCTTAGACGCGTTTTACAGCCTGGTTGGTCTCGACTCAATTGGAATAGCCTTGTAGGCAGAGCCGACTATCTAAATGCTGCCGATGAAGCTTTGTCACAATTCGCCACTACTCTGGCTTCGCTCCGCAAAACAGCTGGAGACTGCGAAGCCCGCATGACTGGCCTTGATAAACTTGACGTTTTTCGATGTCCCAGGACTCAAGCCAATGGAAATTTACCATCATGCAAGGTTCTTTCCTTTTTAGCATATGTTTCGGTTGCTATACCTTAGGGAAACTAGTTCATGATCTAGCCAGCTTGGTCCAAACTTTATACCTTACTTTTGGGTAGTAACAACGAATTCAAATGTTTTAACTTTCAGTAAATATTCTATAGAAGTTAGAATCTGCACGCAGAAATCAGTGTCATAATATGCCCTCAGAAAAGAACTTTTTATGGATATAATAATAATAATAGACATAGTGGTTTCATAAAGCAAAGCTATCCTACTTATTAGTAGTCTGAATAATTATTTATTATTTTGAAGATTTGCCTTACTTGAAAGGATTTTAACATAAACCGTAATCTTACAACAGTAATAATTCACTTATGATATCTATTTTATTAACAGTTTCGTCACATTCTCGCTTATATTTGAGTTCTATCTAATTTTTTTAATATGAAGACGAGACTCGATTTTTTTCTAATTTACTAATTTATGGTCAGTCTTCATTTTCATAGAATTCTTAAATATATATACAATGATAAATTACAATTAAGAAGCGCCTATCATTTTGGTCTGCCAGCAGTAGGTCCACAAACGAGCCAAATGCTGGTGATAAAATAACGTAACATGAAACGATTAATAAATAAAGATATACTTTACCACCTTGCTCTTAGCATATCAGACTTTGGTCTGAAGATCTTGATTTCAATGTTTTGAGCTAGCTAATAGCTAGCAAGTTGATGGAATAGTCCCAAAGATAACCTAATCTAATAAATATCAACATAATTCTACCCTAGGATTAAAGCTTAGGATTAAAGCAATGAAGGAGGTAATACTTCATACAAAACATTTGGCATATAGGGAAAGCGATAATTTGAAAGTTATTATACTTCTGTGTTATTACTGCCAATAATTCTTCATGTGCCATTTATCGGTTTTTTAATTTAATTTATACACACAACCGCCTATCAGGAGTATTTTGCTAGCCTCACTTTGGAGCGGCAGCGCTTGTTTGACTCTCTACGTGCTCGACATTGCCTGATAGGACCCTTATTGATTGGTCTCGAAAGCGTAATCACTGGAGCCGTAGGCACCGGTCGGCACCCGCAGATGCAGCCCTACTATGAATTCTGGGAGCAGCAGCTCTTCGCACGCGTTTACGCGGTAAGCGTTTGAATGCCTACTCGTTTTGGGATAGAAGCGACTGCACAACTAGTTTCCTGTTTATAAGTAGGTTTTCGAATCTGACTCTTTCAGCATAACTGGATCAAAGAGTAGCTGGGTTTCGATTAATCTCCTCTGGAAAAATTGTTGGAGAGACTTTCATTTCGTATGAAAGTGCATAAGAAGAGATTCCAAGGTTGATCTAACTAGAAGAGGACGTCTGATTTCCGTTGTACTACAGCCGTGAGGCTATAATAGGTCCTTCAGGTTGACGCGGACCATAATGCATCTTCTCTCATTTCAGGTTAAGCTTTCGTCCATCATTCGATGGACATCATCAGAGCTATAACTCATTCTTGTAAAGGTCTTATGTTAACACTAGATAAAAAAGACTATCTGGCTCTATCTTGCCTCTTATATATTACTTATGACTAAAAAACGAAAGTGTATAGACATAGATTGATATAGAATGGTTTGGTTAATTATCCTTATATTTGTCCTACTACTTTTACTCGCCTATTTGCATGTGTATGTGTTAACGTCTATACGTAATACCAGACCTAAATCAGAGTGATCAAAAATCCTAATTTTAGGCGAATTATTAAGAAAGTGGAGGATAAGAACAGTGTTCAAAGAAACCCTCACACTTTCTTCTGTATTGCTATATTTTATGGAGAAAGGTTACCTATTATCGAGATCCGGCTGCTACAAGATTGTTTGCTCATATGTTCGATATTATGTTGGTGAGACATGCCGGCCTATTCAAAAAAGATAGGGAAAACACAAAAATGCTTGTAAAGGAAGCTGGGTCCAACGGTCAGGAGTAGCCGAACATATGGTAGAAACTAGACATGAAATAAAATGGTCTCAAACTAGTAGGTTTGCTGATTATGGCACGTATGTGGTTAAAAGAAAAATAAAAGAGGATATTGAAATTAATAGATTAGGACAGCGATTCCAAAACTATGCGCTGCGGCCTCTTTACAGGGGCGCCGCGAAATATTGTAAAGGCTTAAATTTGAGAAAATATGCCGTAATTTGCAGGTTCATTCATCACGTTAATTATTAAATATTAATTTAATGTTGATAAAGTAAAAAAATAATGAAGATACACGAGTTTTATTTATTTTTCTCTCTCTTACTTACGGGCGCCATGGAAAAATTTTAATTGAAAAACGGCGACGCGACTAGGAAAAGTTTGGGAACCACTGGCTTA